CAAAGCCGAAGACCAAGCACTGTCCGAAGACATTTCCGTGGTCATGTGGCCGGCATGACTAAACACCAAGGCGCACAGAACGCTGTTACCTTCCCACTGAAGTGGTACCTATTTATCTACTTGCAATTTCTTGCTTTCAAACTGCTAGGTTGGCAGGGGCTGGAACTAGAGACGGGAGCTCACTCCGTCATGCAGCAACTCGGGTCTCGAACTGCTGAACTACTGACCTTCCACAGCCTGCTGTTCAGCGTCTTAACCACTTGAGCCACCGCAGCTCCTGTTGTTACTTAGGGGGAGAAATAAAACATTTTCTTCAACCCTAAAAGTTCATTTTTTCCCCTGCTGATTTTAAAATATTTTCACGGGCCCCTAAAAGTATCACGTGCCTAATAGACAAATTGGCCCTGCAGCGCTCTGTGTCACACAGTGGCCAAAACCCAGGAGTCATCTGGAGGTCCACCTGCGGGGCCATAGCAAAGGGAGCTCCAGCCTGACTCTGCATATTTTCAGACCAATAATGTATAGCAGAGTTTATTTCGAAGTGAGGGTCAAAGACACAACAGATCATGGCTCTTCGAGTCTTTTTAAGCTATACTGTAGCCCTGCAGAACCCTGCCTCAGACTGGGGCCTCTGTGGAAAGAGGAGGTTTAACCTTTTCACTCCAGACTGGTTTTTTTCCTAATTGAAACTGGGATTTCCCCCACGTGGTTACCCCTTTTTTCCAGCTTTTCTTTCCTTTAAAGGATTATGAAGTGGTGAAATGTTCTGTCAAGTCACAGTTGACTTACAGCCAGGGGTCATTTCCTGCAGGAGCGCACAGGAGCAGAGCTCCGGCAGTAAAGAGCCCAGGGGGCGGGCACATGCAACAAGCCCCACCCCCTGCTCCCAGCAGCCCTCAGTCAGAGCAAGAAGCAGCCAGGTAAGTTGCAGAGCCCCCCCCCCGGTCCAAAACAGTCCAGTGGCACCTTTAAGACCAAGTTTTATTCAGGTACAATCTCTCCCTCCTCTGCGAGGACAGATCCCCCCCCCCCAAATGCTAGCAATCCAAAACAGTCCAGTGGAGCCTAAGCGGTGGGTGTTGCCTTCTGATACACTTCCGGTGATATCAGGGGGTGTGGCATATGCAAATAAGCTATGCTAATGAGCTCCTGCACCTCTTTTTCTATGAAATGACCCCTGCTTACAGCAACCCCATAGGGTTTCCAAGGCAAGAGATGAACAGAGGCAGTTTGCCATTGCCTGCCTCTGCGTAATGACCCTGGTCTTCCTTGGTGGCCTCCCAATACATATTATTTAACTATCCCTCAACAGGCAAGAGCTTTTTGCTTATGGCTAATCCTCCTCAGGTTCACCAGGGTAGGCTTCTGAATATTCCATATTTATTTTATTTATTTATTTTTCAGATTTTTATTCCGCCCTCCCCAAAACAGGCTCAGGGCGGATCACAACCAAACAGAGTCAGAGACTCGTTACAATAAAACCACATTACATTAAAATCGTTAAAACAGTAAAATGCAAGAGGTGGCAGCAATTACATTTAAAAAACCTGTTAGGGCCACGCAGGTGGAATCAGTGGGTACTTCAGTCGACTGGGAACTAGAGCAGGGAGGCCAATTAAATATTCTGACCATCTTCGCCGTTTAGGTAGAATCTACACATCCTTTCGTATTCTTTTTGTGTGCCTGATCTTGGAGGACCGTAGAGCCTCTTTTTTACTACTCTTCTTCTAGCTTGCCAGTCTGAATTTTCAATTTCAGATGCTTTGCATTTTTTTTCCATTTTGTGATCAGGATCGGGGGGGGCTTCTTTCACCCTTTAAGTCACAGCTATTCCCACTGCTCAAGAGCACTGTCTCGTGGAACTTTGATTGGAGAAAGGGAAGGAAAGGAAAGATGGTCTCCCACCACCCATGTACTAACCAGAGCCAACCCTGCTTAGAGTCTGAGATCTGACCAAGATCAGGCTAGCCTGGACCATCCGGTTCAGGGCAGAAAGGTGATAACAGTTTAGATACGCAAAACCGTACAGCATTAAACCTCCTCTCCCGTCCCGGTGTGGACCCCAATCCATATCAGGGCTCCACTCAGCTGTACCTAGAGATGTGAAGGCCCAGAAAAAAAATGGAAAAATTCGGGGGAGAAACGGTTTTCCCCCGTTTTTTTCCTGAAGCCTTTTTTGTTTTTTTCCGAAAAATTGAAAAAAGAAAAGAAAAGAAAAAAAATTGATTATGGAACTTTTTATTTTAACATGATAAATAAAATATTTATGTCAAGGAGACAGTGGGGTAAATAAACTGTTACAGGGATTTCAGATATATACACATACATACATACATACATACATATATACATACATACATACATACATACATATATACATACATACATACATACATACATAAATTGGAAAAAGAAAATAAAATTTTAAAAATTTATTATGGAACGTTTTATTTTAACGTGATGAATAAAATATTTTAAGACAAGGTATTTAAATAACACATGCATACATATATATATAGTATCAGATTGATCTAATTTCTGTGCACTGAGGACAAGCAAGTTCTAGGTTACAAACTGAACTCTCCAATGCAAGAACAAGATGCATTTCTTCCTTTAGGAGGTGCTATTGTCACAAGAAAAGAAAAAGGTTTCAGTTTTGTTTTTGCATGTGGGCGGGTATTCTGTTTGTAATAACTGTTTGGATACACTATATTTTTAATATGCTAGTTGTGATAATTTCATGCCAAGTAAAAATGTCCATAGTCATATTTTATGTTCCTAAAGTAACAGAATGACTTTCAATCTAGAAAAGACAAAAAAAAGTGCTAATGTAACTTTTTTTTCAATTTTTCCAAAAATTTCCATTTTTTTCCGAGCTTCAAAATTTCCGGAAATTTTACATCTCTAGCTGTACCACAGCTGTAAAAGGTGCTGGAAATGTCCAATCCCAGAACTTTATGTATCCGATCCATTTTGACACTTGTGCTACCATCCCAGGGTTAAAGATCATGGGAACTTGGCCTATAACCCTTGAATGATCCCAGATTTTAAAAGACCCACTGAGGCACATTTAATTCTTTCTTTCTTTTTAAAGAGCCTTCAGAGGAGAGGTCATGGCCCAGCGACGGAGCGCACATCAGAAAGGCCTGGGCTCAATCCCATCACAAAGGCCTGGCCTCTCCAGTTACAGGGATCTCAGGTAGCAAATCTTTGGAAAAAACCTCTCCCTGCCTGAGACTCTGGAGAGACACTGCCTGACTAGACAGTGTACATCCAGATGGACTGAGGCTGTGACTCCTCTGCACGTCCATTGTGTCTTGGATCCTATGGCATTACTCCACTTGTGAGTGTGCATGGAAGCCACTGTGACCTCTAGTGACTGACTGTGTGTGCACCTGGAAGTCATGGTGACCTCTGGTGACTGACCCCTACTGGGGGCCTGGAGGATAATCAGAGTGGTGGCTGAATAACACCTGCCCTGAATAACACTTGCCCCTGCCTCCCACCTCTGGTATTCCAGGGAGGTCTCCCATCCAAGGACTTAGCAGAGTCGACCCTGCTTGGCTTCCGAGATCTGACAAGATCGGGCTTGCCTGGGCTATCCAGGTCAGGGTGCTTGCTGGGTGACTTTCGATCAGTCATTCCCCCGCAGGGCTATTTTTGGGCAGGAACGCACAGGAACGGAGTTCCGGCTGGCTCCTGAGTTGGCCACGCCCAGCAGGAACTCATTAGCATAATAGGCCACACCCAACAGCAGAAAGTCATTAGGATTGGCTACAGTAGGGGTGTGTGGCCTAACATGCAAAGGAGTTCCTGCTACAAGAAAAGGCCCTGGGTTTTGACAACAAACAAGGTAAACAGAATAAGAAGCAAAAGGTGGGTGTGGCTGGATGACCACACTTCTGGTAACATGGGGGTGCGGCCTAATATGCTAATGAGCTTCAGCTGTTAGGTGTGGCCTATTATGCTAATGAGTTCCTGCTGGGCTTTTTCTACAAAAAAAGCCCTGCCCCCTCAGCCTAGACAACCTCAGAGGGTAGTTATGAGAAAGGGAGAAACATGTCTCCTGAGCTTCTTGGACGAAGGGCAAGGAAAAATGCACCGGACAAAAATCGTAAACCCATTTGCAAAATCCTTTTTTAAAAAATGCTTTATTGTTTGTTTAGATATTTAACACCCAGTTTTCTCCCCGATGAAGACCCAAAAAAGCCTACGGCATTCCCTCCTCCTCCATATTATTCCTGTGAGGTAGGTTAGGCTGAGAGAAAGCAACTGGCCAAGGTCACCCAGCAAGCTTCCATGACAGACTGGGAACTCAAACCTGGGTCTCCCAGATCCTAGCTCCACACTCCAACCGCTGTACCACGCTGGAAACAGGAAGCTACCAAACCCACAGCGCTCACTGAGCTTTAAGGCCTTCTCCAAGCTAAGGGCCCTTCTCTCCGGTTCTCCTTCTTCCCACATTCCCTCAACTGCTTTCTTCTTGGCCCTTTGAACTTCACTAGCATTCACAAACATGAGTTGGAAAGGATGCCAACGTTCATAAAAATTAACGGCCCCCCGAGAAAATACAGGCCAAGAGAGCTGGCGTGTAAATGCGGGCCGGAACAGGCCCACGAGCTCAGCTAAAGTTACCGTGACTAAGAACGCAACTAAAGCCATTGGGTCAGATGGGTTCACATGGCAGATTCTCAGATTCTCAAAAAAGCCAGCTTGGAGGGGGTGGGGGAAGAGGCTCGGCTATCTCAGCCTCTGGACAGAGACCTTCCTCTGTTCAAACCCAGAAAGGACCCCTTCGGTTCATAGCCTCCCTCCCCCCTACAGAATCCCCCCACCCCCACTGCGTCCATCCCTCCCCTTCTTGTGAGTCAACAAGAAACTCCCAGTCTTCTCTCTTAGCCAAGGTTTTCCATTCCCCGTTCCCACATTCGCAAGGGTGGAAGAGAGAAACACACAGAGAAAGAGAGAAACAGAGAGAGAGGTGTCGCCTCCTCACTTACCCCCAGCATCTGATGCAAGTAATAATACTGCGGCCCGTGGTAATACAGCCGGAAAGTTTTCCAAAACAGCCCCACGTTGAGAGACAGCCAGAACAGCTGAAGGAAGCAAGGGGGGGGGGAGAGACACACCCACAGTAAATGGAAATGGCACGCACAAAACCAGAACTTTCTAATATTTCTTTCCAACACAGAGAACGTGCAGGCAACATAGTCTCCAGAGGCATGAATGAAGTAAGAAAGCAAGACATTATTATTATTATTATTATTATTGTTGTTGTTGTTGTTATGGGGGTGCAGAAACACTGCAGTTGCTCCCTGTGGATTTTTTTGTTTGTTTAATTTCAGACAATCTGCATTGTTGGTTCTTTTTTTGAAAAGCTCCTTTCCCTTCCCCTCCCCACAACAGACACCCTGTGAGGTAGGTGGGGCTGAGAGAGCTCTGACAGAAACTGCTCTTTTTCAAGGACAGCTCTTATCAGGACTATGGCTTGCCCAAGGTCATCCAGCCAGGTGCAAGTGGAGGAGTGGGGAATCAAACACGGTTCTCCCAGATTAGAGTCCGCGCACTTAACCACTACACCAAACTGGCTCTCAATGTATTACATTGAACGTCCATCATCATCATCATCATCATTATTATCAAACCCGGTTCTCCCAGATTAGAGTCCGTGCACTTAACCACTACACCAAACTGGCTCTCAATGTATTACATTGAATGTCCATCATACAGAGTGGTCTCTTCTCCTGCAAGCAGGATTTACATCTTAAGAACATAAGAGAAGCCAATGTTGGATCAGGCCAATGGCCCATCTAGTCCAACACTCTGTCACACAGTGGCCAAAAAAATACCAGGTGCCATCAGGAGGTCCAGCAGTGGGGCCAAGAAGCCTGAGAAGGAAAACAAAACTAGTTTTCAAGATCGGAGATCCATCAGGCTCCAAAGAAGAGAGGAAAGCTCCTCTTTTTTTGTAAAATTAAAGCTTCTCTGCGGTTCTCCCAGATTGGTCTCTTCTCCTGCAAGCGGGATTTACATCTTAAGAACATAAGAGAAGCCAATGTTGGATCAGGCCAATGGCCCATCTAGTCCAACACTCTGTCACACAGTGGCCAAAAAAATACCAGGTGCCATCAGGAGGTCCAGCAGTGGGGCCAAGGAGCCTGAGAAGGAAAACAAAACTAGTTTTCAAGATCGGAGATCCATCAGGCTCCAAAGAAGAGAGGAAAGCTCCTCTTTTTTTGTAAAATTAAAGCTTCTCTGCCTGGATGCATCTGATTTCCATCTAACAGTTGGCAAATTAGAGTTTCTGTGTGCATCAGAATTTCACTAAATCTGTTTTCCACCTGCCTCACAGGGCGAAGCTGCTGTTATACCCAACTTAGATTCTGTCACACAGTGGCCAAAAAAATACCAGGTGCCATCAGGAGGTCCAGCAGTGGGGCCAAGAAGCCTGAGAAGGAAAACAAAACTAGTTTTCAAGATCGGAGATCCATCAGTCTCCAAAGAAGAGAGGAAAGCTCCTCTTTTTTTGTAACATTAAAGCTTCTCTGCCTGGATGCATCTGATTTCCATCTAACAGTTGGCAAATTAGAGTTTCTGTGTGCATCAGAATTTCACTAAATCTGTTTTCCACCTGCCTCACAGGGCGAAGCTGCTGTTATACCCAACTTAGATTCGTGCTTTTTTCTAGAGACCGACCTTAATGCTTACAGAAAGAACATGCACGCATATACAGCGATGCTCTATATGCACCTTCAAAATTCTTTGTTAAACACACACACAGAGAGAATTACAGTAGAAAAGAGCAAGAGACCAATAACACCTTAAAGGCTAACAAAATTTGTGTCAGGGGATGAGCTTTCATGAGTGAGATATCTGAAGAAGTGTGAACAGTGACTCATGAAATCTTTTACCCTGCCACAGATGTTGTTAGACTTTAAGGTGCTACGGGACTCTTGCTTTCTTCTACTGCTGGAGACAGACTAACATGGCTACCCATCGTAATCTATGTACACAGAATTACAGTCTTGATTAATCCTTTGGAACGACAGCTCCTGGTGTCAAGCCAATAATCAGTGGCACAGATCAGAGTTCTTGCTCCCTGCTCAAAATTATGAAGTAAACAGGTAGCAAGTATATGACATACACTGATCCATGCCACTGTAGCATCGAGACTAGATTACTGTAATGTACTATACATGCCCTTGATAACTGTTTGGAAGCCTCTGCTGTTACAGAATGCTGCAACTGTATTACTGACCAGCTTACACCAGTATGATCAGGCTACACCTGGGCTTTGGCGGCTTCCATGAGAGACGGCTTCATTGGCTACCCATTCGTTTCTGGGTGCACTTCAAGGTGCTGGTTGTTCATGGCCTGGGACCCATGTATCTACTGGACTACCTTTCTCCATATGACCCCATGCACCAAACGAAGGTCATCAGGCGCCTCCCTTATGGTAGTCCCCCGTTTGGGAGGTCTGCTCATCTACAGTCCGAGCACGCTTGTTTTCACTGGCCACACCTTCACTTTGAAGCAGCCTGCCAGATAATAGTATGGAAAGCTCTCTCTCTCTCTCTTCCATAAAAGACGCAAAGCAGAATAGGTTCAACGTGCCGTGCATGGACATAACTAATGCAAGTCTCTGACTGGCAGCTGGCATTGATATTTGTGGCAGGAGTTGCGGTCTTAATCTGATGCACTTCATACAGTTAAAAACATAGCTAAAACTGCACGGGTTTATATCTTGTAAACTGCCTTGGGAATTGTGGAAAGGCAGGATAGAAATATTTTAAATAAACACACAAGACGGTTCAAAGAGGCTTGTACAGAGTCACAGTCACTGGCCCACCTAGCCTAGCATGAGGTCTGCTAGAGTATCCATCAATCCACCTAAGGGACCGCCTCTCCCCATACATTCATAACCAGTTGTTTGGAGAGCTGTCTAGATGTCTCTGTTTGCATGATTATGCTGCTTTCTCACACCATTATGGTGCGTACCACCCCCCATCTGCCACCCCTCCAGTTTTAAAAGGCACACTGTTAAAAGAATTGTCTGCAGTTTTTGAACTGAGACTTACTACTAGTGTCTCTCCGCTTTCTGTGTCTTGCCACAAGCCCAGCTAATCTTGCAATAGATGCTGCTGACTGCACAGATGCAAAAGTAGGCAATGCTATCTGGCCAATGTCAGTCATTTAAAGGATGCAGGGACGAAAGAGAAGTGCACCTGTAAGCCACATCTTTCTTTACAGTACAAGTAGATCACTTAATTGAGTCATCCAGGAGTCCAGGGGATATATGCCTCCACAATTAATTGAGATCATTTCACTTGCAGACTCAACAAAAGCAGCCCCCAGCTCCAACAGTCTAGCCCTATAGAATAAAGAGCTACCACACAGGCACAGATCTGTCTGACAGCAACTCCAACAGCAACCACTGAAGTGACCCACTCTGTAGCTCACCTTGCAAGTGATCTGAGGAAATTGGGTGAGGTAAATGTGCCTGGCAAACAAACGTTCACTGCATCCCTGCCTAGCGCTATTCACTATGCCTGGCAGAAGCACCTTCAGGGATCTGGCCAATGGCTTTCCCCATCCCTGCTAGCCGCCATCCTTTACACTGAGGATGCAGGATATTAAACTCAGGGACTTCTTGGCATATACCCGACACTCCCATGTGGATCCTGACTCACCCAGTGGCCCACCAGCTCCTCTGGACAGCCAAGAACAGGGCCCAGAGGCTGAGGCCCTCCCCTGATGTCGCCTCCTGGCTCTGGGATTCAGAGGATTAGGGCCCCTGAATGTGGAGGTTCCCCTCAGTCACCATGGCTAGTGGCCATTGATAGACCTATCCTCCCCTGAATCTGTCTTATCCCCTTTTAAAGCTTTGCATTCCGGTGGCCATCACCGCATCCCCTGGTAGCAAATTCCACATTTCAAGCACACTTTCTGTAAAGCAGTACTTCCTTTTGTCTGTCCTGAACCTCCTGCCCATCCGTTTCATTGGATGCCCTCGAGTTCTAATATTTTGGGAGAGGGAGAAAAATGTATCTCGGTCAACTCTCTCTGCCTCATGCATATTTTATAACCCTCTATCGTGTGTCCCCCCCACCCTCACCCCTTTGTCATCTCTTTTATTAAGTCTCAGACTCCACAGCCATTCCTCATAGGAAACGTACTCCGACCCCCTCATCATCTTGGTGGCCCTCCTCTGTACTTTTTCCTGCTCTGCAATGTCCTTTAAGAGAGACGATGATCAGAACTGTACACAAGTAAAGCAGGAGGTGACCAGAGACAGGGCTTTTCCAGTGGTGGCCCCTCACCTTCACAATGCTGTCCTCCCCTGGGGGCATGCATGGTGCCTACTTTCCTTTCCTTTGGGATGTTTCTTTTTTAACCCAGGTTTCAGCTGAGGAGTTCCATCTTTTTTAGCGGTCTTATGGTTGGCTCCCAGCCTGCAGTCTGTTTTATCAGCACCATTTTAGACTGTGAAGTGCTTTTATACTTTGGCTTGCTTTTATTGGCCCTCTGTATTACTGACTTGGATCATTCTATTGACTTTGTTTCAATTGCTAAGATTCGTTTTCTCGTTTTTATTGTCTACTTGGTTTTATTGTTGGGAGCGGCCTGGAGCGGGTCTTGACAAAGTAGCATACAAATTTTCTAGATAAATAAAAATATTACCAAGTGGAGAAATGGCAAGCAGCTGCCAGAAGGAAAAAAAAATGTATGTTGCAGACTAACAGTGCAATCCGATGTGGATTTACTCTAATCTAGACCCATAATCTAGACCAGTGTTCCCTCTAAGCTGAGTTAGCGTGAGCTAGCTCACAGTTTTTTAGCCTCCAACTCATAGATTTTTGTCTCGGCTCAGGAAGGAGGGCTCCAGAGCAAACTAATTTATGCAGCAGCCAAATCGCTCGCTCACAACTTTCATGTCAGCAGCTCACAAAGTAGAATTTTTGCTCACAAGACTCCACAACTTAGAGGGAACATTGATCTAGACCCATTAAAATCAGTGGTCTCAGAGCTAAAGGACTCCGCATAGAATTGCACTGTTCATTAGGTTAGGTATTGTGTGAGTATGTATGTGCAAGTG